TCAAACGGCGTGTATGCTGGGAGAGACATACCGCAGGTCATTTCCTCATATTCCACAACATGGAGGAGAAATTAGCGGTAGGGAATCACCCGGTGCTTTATGACCAGACCTACCGGGATATAAACCGGAGGAGCCAGGCATGGAGGGAGGTGGCAGAGACAGTGGTAGGTTTTCGCCTGTTTTGGGGAGTTTATATCCAGTTTACTTCGGGCTTTTTGGCTTCGTATGTCGCGGGCGGGAGATTCATGTGATTGGTTGATCGCAAAAAAATCCCCAAGCCTCAGATACGCCCACCTCCAAGATTTTTTTAACGCTGCTGTGGAGACGGCCCGTAACTCTCAAAACAAAGAATGTCCCTCAGCTTAAAGGTCCTTACACACCAAACTGACATCAAAGAACACGTCCCGACGGAACGTCGCCTCACGTTGCCTCACGTCGTCTGCGTCTTGGCCATGTTTCGCACTGGAACACACCGCAAAGACTTCAGCCAACGGCCAAGTTGCACGTACGAACTGCGCATGCGTGAGTGGCAATAACTCTCCTTACCAGCAGGCGGCGGTAGTGTGTATTCGTCATTCAAAAAGAGGCAACAAATGGAAGACAGACTGCGTGATACACCGAGAGAAGAAGAACAGACTGCGTGATATAAACAAACAACAAATAGCGTGTGCGTTCCATTTTCACTCTACAACGAGAAGCTCATGGGGCTTTCCCGAACCTGTGTCGAGAGCTGGAGTTAAATGAAATCTCAGATTTGCCTTCTTAATAGTTTGTTTGGGTCCCTCACTTCCGTTTCGCTTCTCATGCACTGATTCGCTAAGCTGAACAGCCAATCAGAGTGATTTCTTTGGCCGACGGCCTTTAGCCGACAGCCTCCCGAATCAACATGTCGAATCGGCGGCGGAAGGTGTCGGCACGGCCGAAAAGACACGACGGTGCAGGACACACCAAGACACACCAGTCTGAGTAGGGCGACACGACGTTCATCGACGGCCCGACATCTATCGACATCTATCGACGCCCAAAATCGGCTTGGTGTGTAAGGGACTTAAGGCCAACCTATTCTCATTAAAACAGTATTAAAACTATTTGTATAAAAGAATATACAGGCCTGTCTGGCTCATATCATTTTAATGAAGGCATGCTGCTGCTCACTTGAAATGAAGCAATCTGTATTATTTTCACTGGACATTATGACTGCAATGCTCTGCATGCATGTCTGGATTAGAGTCTAGTGCAGGGGTGGGGAACCTTTTTCCTCTCAAGGGCCATTTCAATTTCTTCAACATCCTCCGAGGGCCGTACAAATTATTGACCTCTGCTTAAAAATACTAAAATCACAGCCCATTCATTTGGCCTTTCTTTCATGCTGTGCAAAGAAAAAGCAACCTCTTAATCCAGATATCTTACCATGACTCGCGCATGCATGCACGTGCACGGTTGTGGCATGACCACCAAACAGAAAGATATGGACACAAGATGTGTGCAAATGTATTTAGTTTCCTATCCATGTGAAGATGATTTAAGTGGGGGGGGGGACCTAACCTCCTCTAGGGGGGTCCGGGGGGCATGCTCACCCGGGAAGATTTTTTTTTAAATGTTGAAGTCTAAAAGCATCCATCTGGTGCACTTTGAGAGCAACATGAAGAGATCTATGGATACATCTCTCAACACCCATATGAAACAGAACTGTAAGCAGATTTTCTTTTTCTTTATGGATATTTTACAAATCACTCCCCTTTCAAACTGTATTCTTGTTTATTAATAACAACTTGTTTTACTGTCATATAGTATTTTATACCCGTTTACTTTATTCTCTTATTTTTTTATAACTATAATGATCATATAAAGATGTGCCTTTACCTCACTGGTTGTAGAAAAAGCTTCTTATATTCGTTAGCATAGCTAGCTTACCAGATGCCAATAACAACAAAGTTATTGACTGTATGATCAGTATGACAGATGAACAGATCGCCACTGGGCTTTCAACTAAAACACAGCCACACAAAAACTGCGGCATGTGTACGGCTCCTTATGGGTACTGCAATTTCTGAAGTGCCGGAGCCGCGTTCTGGTGCTTTCCGTCAGAACTGCACCCCTGTCAGACGAGACATATACCACGTGATGACACGTTAGGCTCGTGTTGTGTTCAAGGACCCTGACCTTGGCCAGGAAAAACAGGCACTCGGCCGTACCAAATGGTCTCGCGGGCCGTATACAGCCCGGAGGCCGGAGGTTCCCCACCCCTGGTCTAGTGCACTATGTGTGAATGCATCTACATAGTATGTATTTTCATACTGAAATAACAAGCCCTTTTATTTACAGGGATCTGTTTCATGAGGTTTGAAAAAAAAAGGGAAAAAGACGTGCTTAAAACATCACAAGCTAATGAGAACTCTAGTAATGATAGTATCAATATATTTGCATTGCATTGCTGCATTGTATGACTCATGTGGTTTTGTCTTATTAGAAATGAGAAGAAGAGTAAGGGTAATGAAAAGAAAAAGAATGGGGGATGATAGTGAGGGAGGCTTGTCTACTGTTAACCCCTCCCCCCCTCCACACAGTGGTGATAGTAGCTGCCTGGTTCACTGACATCATCTGCATTGCCAAGTCCCCCCCATCCAGCTGCTGATGCTGAGGCCCACTCACTTCACACATCAGCTGTTCAACTGTCCATTATCAACCTGCAGATTGAATATGAATCATGTAGAAAACATTTTATCTCGTAAGACTGCAGAAGGAGCAACAAATAATTTAAAGCAGTGACTGTGTAACTTGTTTGTGGTAATCTTTAGCCCAGGGGTGGGGAACCTCCGGCCCCCGGCCCGTATACGGCCCGCGAGACCATTTGGTGAGGCCCTCGAGGTAATTTATAAACACACGCAAAAAAGAAAAAAAATTAAGAAATCAAGACCGCAAAAAAATTAAACAAGCGAGTGCCTGTTTTTCCTGGGTTAGGTCAGGGTCCTTGAACACAACACGAGCCTAACGTGTCATCACGTGGTATATGTCCCGTCTGACAGGGGTGCAGTTCTGCAGGAGAGCACCAGAACGCCGCTCCGGGCCGGGACTTCACAAATTGCAGTACCCATAAGGAGCCGTACACATGCCGCAGTTTTTGCGTGGCTGCGTCTTAGTTGAAAGCCCAGTGGCATCTGTTCATCTGTCATACTGATCATACAGTCAATAACGTTGTCGTTATTAGCATTTGGTTAGCTAGCTATGCTAACGAATATAAGAAGCTTTTTCTCCAACCAGTGAGGTAAAAGCACATCTTTATATGATCATTATAGTTATAAAAGAATAAGAGAATAAAGTAAACAGGTATAAAATACTATATGACAGTAAAAAAAAGTTATTAATAAACAAGAATACAGTTTGAAAGGAGAGTGATTTGTAAAATATCCATAAAGAAAATCTGCTTACAGTTCTGTTTCATATGAGTGTTGAGAGATGTATCCATAGATCTCTTCATGTTGCTCTCAAAGTGCACCAGATTGATGCTTTTAACTTTAACATTAAAAAAAAAATCTTCCCGGGGGAGCATGCCCCCCGGACCCCCCTAGGGGAGGTTAGGTCCCCCTCCCCTACTTAAATCATGTCCACATGAATAAGAAACTAAATACATTTGCACACATCTTGTGTCCATATCTTTCTGTTTTGGGGGTCATGCCACAACCGTGCACGTGCATGCATACGCGAGTCATGGTAAGATATCTGGATTAAGAGGTTGCTTTTTCTTTGCACAGCATGAAAGAAAGGCCAAATTAATGGGCTGTGATTTTAGTATTTTTAAGCAGAGGTCAATCATTTGTACGGCCCTCGGAGGATGTTGAAAAATTGAAATGGCCCTTGAGAGGAAAAAGGTTCCCCACCCCTGCTTTAGCCCATTGTGCCCACTGCTCCATCACTATGCACACTGTGTATGCCCGCTCCATTGATGTGACACCAAGGATATGCACTACCAATCCCTGACTGTATCACAGACTATTACATTACAAACTCAAAGTGTGGTGTGTGGTCACTTATTGCTTAAGGTAAAATGTAATTCACACTCATTCTAACACAGCCAGATGTGCTCTACAAAAAGGGTTCCTTCTGCTAAACGCAGGTGGGTGGGAAAAACAAGCAGCTTAATAAAAAGTTGTTCTCTGGTAAAGGATTATACATGTCATTTGGGGACAGGGTTTTATTTGACTTTTATCTCCAGAAATGAATATTTTAGCAATTATCATTAAAAAAACACTGATTATGGTCACAACTAGGATGTATCTTAAGGGAATTTGGCAGAGAGCAAATCTCCTTTATGCTCTGATTAAGAAAGCATAAAAACAACCCAACATAGCTGTCTAGGGCTATCATTACTCTATGCCATAGTTTCACATGTAATATTGTCAATGTCGTTGAGAAACCACGTCTTCAAAACATTGTAATGTATTTCCCCACTAAAAACGAGCTTAAATTACACCAGACCAATACATGCTATTAGTATTCTGTGAAACGTTCACGAACCCTCACATCATCCTCCGTTAAAATCAAATCCGCCATTAAAATACATCATTAGTGATATTGCTTCTTCCTTTTGGTCCAAATTAAACACACACGGTTAACACAATTATGATACAGTTTCGCCACATGACCTCACAACAGAGGTGGGAGGCGTGATTCATTTGTCAAATGATGAAATCTACTGAATTACATGTTGTTGGTCAACCACATAATGCCGAATTTATCAGTAGACTATATCAATATGTTAAAAGGTTATATTTGATGTTTCTTTCAAGTAGGTCTTTGTAAATATGCAAACACATTTAAATAACAAGATTGTTGAAGGAGGTTGGTGCTCTCCATGAAAGAGACGTCGATACAAGCACGAACCAAAACACACGGGTCCGGTTGATGAGTGTATCCTAATAGAGCTTTCAATTATAGCCTATTGTAATTAACAGTACTGTCAACGTTTCCAGATGTATGTTTTTGAAGAAAAATTGACTTACAGCGATGCTGGGAACCGCAGTCTCTGGTCGCTCGATCATTGTTCGGTGCTCTCACAACCCGGTCCGCAGCGGACAGTTACCTAGCAGACACTGACTGACGGCCGGTTGAATGGCGGAGCAGAGAGCTGTACGGAGCTTCACACCGTAAAACACGTAGTTCGGTATAAACAAAAGGGAGACAAGTCCGTCGGCTGACCAATGAATGAGGTTAAATTACGGCCGCTGACGGATACTACAACCAGATGTAGCACAGTGAGGAAAATTGCTCCAAGGCTTCGACCACTGATTTATTCACGAGGCAGAAACATATACAGTACATCCGGTTGAGTCTTTCAAAATATAAACGAAGGCAAGACAGTCACCGGTGACTGCTGACGGGTTACAACGGTGTCTAGCGCCTGGCGAAGGAATAACGTTAGCAGGAAAATGGAGAGAACGGTGAGGTGAATTAACGTTTGGGAAATAGAGAAGGAGGACAGTGAGAAGTACGCGGACTGATCCAGTCGGAGCCCCACGTTAGCTGCCGTGGCACAACAAGATATCAAAGTGCAGGCGGGTCATGCGGAGCGCCGCGTCGCAGCAGAGCTTTATTTTTCAAGACAGCTTTTCCACGGGCATTTTCTAGACAATGTTCTTACCCCATATTATGTTCGGGATGCTTAAAAGTATAAATGTTGAATACGTTGATGTTGTAACCAAAATATAATAATGTTTATTATGTTAGCATTTAACAACGAAATTCCTTGGATTTCTCGATGTAATGCTAAAACTATAATTATGTCCTCAGTGTATTTATCAGTTTAGCTTTAAAAGTGGACAAGGAACTCCAGTAGAATATTTTTTAGAGAAAGATTACTAAAAATTAACAACACAAGCGGCAGGAAGGTTTATTTTGAAAGAGATTACACCGAAGTTCCGGTCTACTACTGGCCAGCTTGAGGCGGAGTCTCGTTCTTTCCTATGAGAGCTGCTCATTGGCGCATGAGGACAAAATGGCCCAACTTTTGCTTCTCAATTTTTGAGAGAGCGAAACGTCACAGATTACCCATCATGCCTGGCTGTCAGAGCAGAAGAACCCATGTGCGCTCACAGAGCATGCGCCCCTTAAGCCCCGCCCCCGGAGCTCCCACTCTCGGCTCAGTAGAATGAATGGATTGATTGATTGATTGAAAAGTTTATTAACAGCTTGTATATTGGGTACAGTACAGTACAGCTCAAAACATACAATTGTTAAGGGGATGCAGACCAGAGAAAGACTTTCGTCTTGTTTACATCAGGGTCCCCCATTTCCAATTCATCATATCATTTAAGACATATAAGACATATTTGACATACAGATGGCTTATTTACCATTTACATACAGGTGGTTTTTTACATACAGATGGCTTATTTACAATTTTCATTTTAGATTTCGTTCTAATACATCCTAACCGGACATTTAAGACATACCAAGTCTACAGATATACAGTTAGTAACAGAGTCTAAAATGCGAGTATATACATAGATGGGGGGGGGAAGCTGTCCATTGTACGACAGGTTGAGATTTGTACCATTACCGGGGCCAGTTTTGCAATGCTTTCCCCCGAAGGTGCTCTTTAAGAGAGGTTTTGAAGGTAAGTATAGTTTTACTTTCCTTTACAGTTGTGGGAAGAGCGTTCCACCTTGATGTGGCATAATTGCGAAACGTGTATTCCCCTTTTTTTGTGCCAAATCTGGGTTTTACATGATTTGTGGAGCTCCCTCTGGTGTTATGATCATGGTATTCCTTGACCTTTGGGAAGAATTTTGACATGTACATGGGTACCATAGAGGTGTAGTGGATCTTGTAGACCAGGCCCATTGCATTGGAGACAGAAAATAAATCTAGATTCGGCTTTTAGTGCATTTTACAACTTTAAGGACCTAATGATTATAATAAGGGCTATAAAATAGTTCATACTGGGTAGTTTATTTAGTTTAAAAAAAGTTATCCGCTGATTTACAGACGTCTCTTTCCCAATGTTAGTCAATGGGAAAAAGTATTTCTGGGCCGGGTGACGTCACGGACTGATACGGAAATGGTAGTACCGCCGTTTGGACACAACGAATATTTTCATCAGAGTCCGGCGCACTTCCTGGAGGCTTGAGCTTGACGCACCGTTGAGGGACTGGATCTGTCTCTCTATTGGTCAAACACGGATGTGATCAGCCTCTGTGTGAGGCCTTCACGAGCTGGGGGTGAACATTTGCATTAGCGTTACTAAACAATTAAGAAAAACAGACAATGTGGCAAATGCCATACAATGAAGTAGCCTATCCAACCAGACAGATGTGCTTTAATTGGAAATATACAGACATACCTCAAAATGTAATGTTGGGAAGGACAAGCAATGTGGCTCTGAGGAGATCTTTTTATTTCACAGGTTGGCCTGAATGTATAATCACATTTACGTAATAACCTAATGGCCCAATGGCTATCACGATACTTGAGATCTGTTGCTAGGTAGTAAGACAATAGGCATTACTTGTGATTAGGTGGTGCATGTCATACTATTAAATCAGTGTGATATATGGCTGCATGGAAAAAAAGTACATCAACAAATTATCAATGGAAGCCACATTAAAGTCACCATATTTCTTATTAGTAAAGCTTTTGATGAGAACGTTTCTTCTTGTTCAGCCCACTGTTACTAGAACAATCCCAAAGATGTACATGCACTTGTGATCTGTCTTTGGTGACATGGAAATTAAATGAAGTGGTCTATTGGCGCACTCTAGTGGCACAAAAAGCAACTGCATCAGACTGCAGCTGATATATTGCCAAATCCAAAATTGTGAGATTGCTCAGTTAACTTTTTTTCTTACAATTATACAATGTAGCTTTTCTTAGAAAATTATAAAGGGTACCTCATTCATTTATTTGTATTTTCTTAAGCAATAAACACACGCTTGCTCAATGCATTACACTCTACTTTGGTTTGCCATGACTAATATAAGAGGCTAATGTTAGATTATATTAGCTACCTTTAGATATATACAACTGTAGACAAAATTAAGAGACCACTCCGAAATTATCAGTTCATCTGGTCACTGTTAATAAATATGCATTTCAGTAAAATTTAAAGTTTTGCTTTATTCTCAACACATAATTTCTCCCAAATCCCCTAGGAAATAGTGTAATTTAGATCATTCTTTTGCAGAAAATGCAATGGTTTCAGATCTCAAAAGAAGTTCATAATAATTCCTAACCACCACAATACTAACGGTTTACCTTAATTAGAGGTGAGAAATCAGTATTTGGTTGAATAATCACATCACAGCATACATGCATGCTGGCATCCTCTTCAGCAATATGTCAATACTGTTACATACATAGCTGATAAGTATGTCTTCCAAATTATTTATAATACTGACTTCTGTAAAATGAAGTGAACTGAGGAAGAGGAATAGTTTTGGGCTCAGATGCAAAAACTCATTACCTCAGTCCTGCTGAGGAATCCACGATCAGACAGACAGCTCTGTAAAGTGTCCCGATAAACATTCCTGTTTGCCATCTTGCAATGTTATTATTTATATAAATAGTCATCACCGCAATAAACCGTATTTAATTTTGTCTTAATGTACATTATTTAATTTCATATTCTGTTCTATATTCTATTTACATGTGTATATAGACTTCTTGCACTTTTTTGTAATTTTTATTTTGTATTTTTGTATTTTGTTATATATGTTGCATTCAGAGTTGGGTGTAACGCGTTACTGTAATAATATTACTTTTGTCGGTAACGGAGTAATGTAATGCGTTTATAATTCAGTAATCACTACAGTTACTAACATTGCCCGACACGCATTACTTTGTTACTTTTATAAAATCAATAATCACACTACAGTTAGCCTACTAACAGGGAGAATCTAGTAATTCTTTATTTGACAGACAAGAGGGATTTCCGCCGCAGGTTTATATTTACGTAACATTTGCGCGACATGCGCGTCCACATGCAGTGCATAAACATGGCTGAGCCAACAGCGATAACTTTCGAGGGGTGGAGGCAGGGGCGGACTGGCCATCGGGACGTTCGGGACAAATCCCGATGGGCCGTTACTGAAGTGGGCCGGTCGGACGATGTGGGCCATTCGGAGAAGTCACTAGCGCCACATTAACCTGGCTGTTTAAAGGATATGGTTTTGGGCCATGTCCATTTTCATTCGGACAAGTCCAAAGTTCCTAAGGTGTATGACATAAACGAGATGACTGGATTTGATACAACTTCCTGCATTTTTTATGTTGGCAAAAAGTCAGCGTTCCAGAAACTTGCGAAAGGTGAATCGAGCATCCAGAGCTGTGCGAATGCGTTTTTTCTTTCCAAAATCAAGCACACAATGGCATAGAGGGCCTTGGAGCAGAGAGATTGCGGTTAGGTTTGGAGGCAAGAATACCAATTCACTTGCCCTTTTGCTCTACAATCTACAATTTGTTTCTGCCAATTCAATTGTTACCCCAGAACATCTCCCTCCTACACAGTTGTTGACTAAATATCATTGCCAAAAGTCTATTACCAGATCATGGTGTGGATTGAAAAGGAAAGTGACATGAATCCGGTGGATTGGGGATGAAAACTGGAGGACAATCGGTTCATGCCTGCTATGACCAATAAAACTGAAATGTCCAATTGTATTGTTAAATCACCGTCACTTTTAACATCAATATGCTTATAACCCATTGCTCTAATATGTAATTGTACTTGTAATCACTATCATTTAAATATGCTAATTTGATTCTTAGATCACCAAAGCATGGGATTAGTCCCCAAAATTGCTTGACTGGGATGAGGTCCAAATGTAACTGCTCCGCGGACGTAACGTAATGGCTCCACGGATTGGTCCATTTGGACCAATGGGTCCATTTGGGTATGGGCACGTCACTGTACCCAGGAAGAAAAAGAGAAATCTCCAACGAGGCGTTCTGGGGCAGCATAGACAGGTCTTTTCTGTGTTACAGTTTTACTCGCTACAGGGTGTACTTTGAGGGTTTTTGACTCTGCAGACTGTTTACATGCAGAAAAACCTTCATAACACTCAAGGGGACGGGTAATAACCGGAAAAGCATGACATGGGACCTTTAAGGAATTTTCGGCCATCTTGGACGCCATCTTGAAAATTAGACCTTTGTAGTGGTCAGATTTTGGTAGACTTTTAGTATGTTATTAAGTACACCTGATACTACAATAATCCATTGAGAAACCTTTTGTTGCAATTTGTGACCCGCTCTATCGAAATCAGTCGGAAGTCGCAACGGCTCATTTCAAAATAAACGTGGATTTGTGTAAAAAAAATAGTTTTTCGGGGTTCGGGTGTTTTGTTTGATTTTAAACAAACAAAGTCTTGGCTTTCAGAATATGAAACTTTTATTTCCAAAATCACACGATAAATACATTTTTGAAGCTTGTAAAGGGAAGATGAAAGCTCTCACTCGCCACTCTGCTGTTCCACAGCGCTGCTTCCCCTCCCTCCGGCTGAAATTATGAATGTAAGGCATATAGTAATCATAGATAACACGGCAGGGTCCGTTACAGTTTGTTTTCATCTGATTTCAATTAAACAAAGTCTTGGCTTTCAGAATATTAAACTTGTTTCGGCAAATTCAGATGATAAATACAACTTTGAAGCGTGTAACGGCATAATTACAAGCGGAGAACGGAGTAACTTGACGTCACAGCAGGCATAACAACAGCCGGTGTTTCTCGTGAGTGTTTTCCCCAGGAAACAAATACAATACACACAAATGCAAAATTACACAAACACACACACACACTCGCGAGCTTCCCCCAGACCAGTAATCCAAACGAAAATATTTTCCCTCCGTAGTATTTTGATCATTTGCTCCGTTAATAATCAATCAGATCGATGGATTCCAGAGAAGAGGAAACTTTGAAGGCCTTTTTCTCAAAATGATGACTCGGTGACAGTCATTATATAATGTGACATATTTCGCTTAATATTTGGAGTACAACAACAATCCTGATATCATTAGAAAGCTAGGAATCTCCTCTTTCCAACAGTGTATACAACTCAAAATGTGTCTTCGGGTCAATGCGACTGATTTCGATGGAGCAGGTCACATTTGTTTGGGGTCAAACTATATTTGCAGCTGACTCCACAGTTCTGTGAGAGAAATGCTCAACAGTTAATGAAAACACCTTGGCCTTGAAAAGGAACTTCTCTGAAGCGTGTTTGGTTCCAAACTCTAGTTTAGAAAAAGGCAGTTCAGAGAGTTTTAATGTGTAAGTGTACGTTGAAACTTAATCCATGGTAAGCAGAAAGAAAATAACCAAGACAAACCATTACATGTTATCATGCTTTAATTCAATATACCGTAATTTTCGGACTATAAGGCTCACCTGAATATAAGCCGCAGCAGCTAAATTGAATGATGTGTACATATATAAACCGCACTGGACTATAAGCCGCAGGTGTTTTAATGTTTAATTACCATATCTAAGGGTTCGTGCACAGAGGGGATTGTCGGGAAAGAGATGGCTGTTTGAGGAAGCTCCCATTTATTAACATTTCAACAAACAAGTTGCATATTTGCATAACGTATTCAAGTGTTACCATTTAGTGCAATAGTAGCTACAGAACATGTACTGAAACAGAAACTGTCTCGCTCTCGTAATGTCTGTCTGTCTGTCTTGCTCTCGTTCTGTCTCTCGTACCACTCTCGGTTCCACTTTTACTTTTGCGCGCTACCTGTCTCACTCTTTTCCGGCCTCCAGCTTTTCCTGCTGGAGCCCGCCGCTTAAAGGTGGGGGGCGCGGACCGGCCATAGAGCCCATAGAGTTAAAGGTGGTGGACTGTAACCTGTAAAATCCATAGATTTAGGAGGTCCCCTAGTGGCCGTTAGCTGTAAAAATCCATAGATTAGCCGCACCGTTATATAAGCCGCAGGGTCGAAAAATGGGGAAAAAGGCTCGGCTTATAGTCCGAAAATTACGGTAATCAAATCAGTAGAATACAGAAATAAATAATTTGTAACCAAATTCCATACTTATCTGTAGAGGTATTCAAAATATGACTATAAATAGGAACAAAACATCATCACTTTACTATATATCAAAAACAAGAAGAAAAGGTCACAATGGTTCCTTGCAGAAACAGTGGCATTACACATACTGTAGCTTATACCTTACTGATAAGCAGTGCGGGACATTGCATTTTTACAGTGAAGAACGTTTTGGTAAGTCAGTTCCAATAACAATGCATCAGTAGTTCACAGTGTTGACGGTTATGTGGGTGTTGTATCAAGCAAAAATATACAAATAGTTCCACATACATTCAATTAAAAATCAGAAATATACCAAATGGAGTGTACATTTGTCTCATTCCAGCAAATGGTCCATGTTACAAAAATAACAATATTTAGTACCTAACAAGAGGTACTGCAGACCTTACATATGGTAACACATCTGTAGTAGATGCAGCTTTGACAGGTATAGTTTGAGATGCAGCATCAGATCACAGGCTTTGATAGTGGATGTGATGTCGCCACGGTTACAGGTTGGTTGTCTCTCCTGGGATGGCTTTGGTGTCCAGGTAGCTGATGAGATTCTTCACCCAGGGGGCTGAAGGACGGACACACAGCTGACGTGGACCTGCCACTGTCCTTAACCTGCACACACACAGAGACCCTCAGTGACTCCATGCTGAGGAGGTGTATTCAGGCAGAGTACTGAGGTGACTGGGCGGTTCTAGTGGGGCCAACAGGGTCCAGCACCCCTGTAACACTGTGCTTGGACCCCCCCGTGGCCCCCCTCCAAAGGAATACATCTATGATAATGCAATCTGTGATAGTGTTGCAGCCAATACTGTGCTGTAATCTGGGGCTAAAATAACAGGAATGGTTTTTTTTTCAGTAGTGAAATTAAATAAATTGAAACTAAGTTACTAAAACAAATTCTGTGTCTAAAACAAATACCAACAAATATTAAGAAATTAAAATATAACAACGTTTGGCTGCATACATAAAGTATTTATTAACCCAAGCTTCATTTAGGTTAATGGTAAAGTAAGTATCTAGACTAAAACTGGACTGACTTTATCCTGAACTGAGAAAGTTTCCTGAGGTGCTGTGTTGGTGCAGTATTGTGGTGTAGTATTGTACTTACAGGACGGCAGGGTTGGGGCAGCGCTGGCTGGTCCTGACGTAGCCGATCACTCGGCCTCTGGGAACCTCTCTCTCATTGAACTTAAAGCAGCATTTCCTCGGGCCAGCACCACGCAAACCTACACACAAACACACAGTCAGATTCAGTTCCTTTTGTATGTTGGCTTTTTTTTCCTTCCTAAAGCTCAATCTGATACTGCTTTTTGTTTAACAGGTTGTGACATTGCTCAGTTGTTCCATTGTCAAATGGGGAAACTCTTGTGTTACTCTGGCTTTCCATTTAATAAAGTGAGCTGTTATAATGGAAATACACATTTTAATAAATGTAGGTTTAGCTTCAACAAGTCCTTAGTGTTTTTGATGCTGGAACCTTTAAATCTCAGTTTCTCAATCTTTGACATTGGATAATAAATATTTTCAGGCCACTCAGAAATCAGCGACAAGAAATATGACCTAAAAGGTCGTAGTAGTAGGTTTACACATAATATTCTTTGGTGTATAACTCTGCATACATTTACACAGTTAAAGGAATTCAGTTGGACACAAAAGAGCAAATACAGAACTACAAGACAATTATTTAAAATTAAAATGAAATGTTTAAAAAAAAGGTATAAATATACAACAAATATACCAAAAAGTAAATACAAGTAAAGTACACAGTAAATGACACATTTCTTTGACAAATAAAATATGTGCAGATTATGGTCATTTAAAGTGGGAGAGCTGTGCAATTTAATTATTTATTTTGTAAGAGGAATGCCTCACTTAATGTGCCTTATTGTAAAAATAATAAAAGAAAATATGTTAGAAATGAACAAAAACAACTTTAACTGATCAGACTGAATGACTTATATATATTGCTATCAAACCAAAATCATAAACATTTAAAATAAGATTATTTTCCTTCACTGGTGGAATGTGTTATGTGGAAGCCTCCCTTACCTTCAGTCAGAGTGAAGACAGCCAGCATCAGCACACACACACACAGAGCGAGACGAGGAGCAGCCATCCTGAACAGTGTGTGTTCTCTAGGTATTAGTGTGTGAAAGTCTTAGTTGAGCCTGTTCTCTCTGCTGTGTGATCACTCTCCATCTGCGCCAACATTTATAGTGGAGGAGAAGCCTGGGGGGAAGACCCCAGCTTCATGGGATTTCACCGTCATGTGTCAGTATCTCTTATCAAACCGAGGGGGGGGGGGTTACCAGGCGCTTCTTGCGTATGTGTTTATATTTAGTCCATTGAACTTCCCTTAATCAATACCATTCTCTGACGAAACCTGTTTTCAAATGAAGAAGTACTTTCCTCTTCAGCGTGGTTTCCCCATGCTTCAAAAGTCCTCACATTTAATAAACTGGAACTGTGAAAATTACATTTGTAATGACTTGTAACAGAGTATTACTACACTATGGTATTTCTACTTTTACTTTAGTACAAGATCTGAGTACATCTTCTCGCTCTGCTATGAAACCATTCAATTAATAAAGGAAAGAAGGCCACAAGCTACTGTATACAATAAATCCCCCAAACATTTTCTCTTTGTTGTAAACTCCCAACTAGAAATCTCTATTAATACAAAACATTTCTCAAAAATTCCTATTTGTAATCATACAGTATCAATGGACTCTAAATAGAGATGTAATAGTCTTGGTGGTAATTAGGGATGACTTGTTTGAATGGCATTTCATTGCCACGGAAGTCAAACAGCACAGCAGAAAAACCGGTTTGGAGATTCTCATGGATTTTCACAAGGATCTCTGCACAACAGTAACAATATATCAATAACACCAAGATGAATACTTCCCTTTTGATAGTTTGGACGAGTTTGAACGTGCAAACCACGTGAAGATGTGATGGAAGGATACGACTGGACTGTCAGGGTTGAGCAAAGCAGGCAGGACCCAAATGCAGGATTAACTGAAAAAATACCTTTATTTCAAGGATACAACTATACATAAAGAGCAGAACTCTCTCCCCTGTGAACACATTAAAAAAACAACAAGGATCTCACAACGACAGACAGAAAAACCAGAACTTAAATGCACACAAGACTAATCACCCAAACAAGACACAGGTGAGGAAGGAGGAGAAAACACAGGGGGTGTTTCTCAATGTCGAGTAAAGCTGCTGCAGAGCCACTATTTCAAGCATACTACGTCATCGAGTGCCGCCAAAGTACTGTTCCAATCTCCAGCATACTTATCTACATATCTACCGAGCCCGGCGTACTCCGTTTGGAGAAATATCGAGGCTGAACATGAGTAGACTCCGCGGTCTTAAAATCCCCACAATGCTTTGCGCACGGACCAATTTCCCCAAATCTGTGGCGGAAGATGTAAGGCGGGGCCTCTCATATGACGCACACTTGCTAGCCTGTTCCACTCTTTGTTTTCCAAATGTCAGGAAGTATTCTTGACTCGCTTCTGAAGCAAGATGCTCGTCAAACATGTTCTACCAAGCAAGCCTACTCGCGATTGAGAAACACCCAGGGGCACAAGGTGAACACAATCAGGTAATCAGGCAGGAGGGAACACAGAGACAGGAAGCAACAGACAAGACGGGGTGTGAAAACTTTTCAAAATAAAAACAGGAAACCAAAGACAGATCTAGACATGAAAATCGTGACATTACCCCCCCCCTTAAGGGACGGATCCCAGACGTCCCTAAAAACACAAAGTCCAAAACGTCCAGCAGGTTGGATGGAGGGGGACCGGAGGAGGGACTCGGGTGGACAGCCCGGTGGCAAAGCAGAAGCCGAGAAGGGGGACTCGGGCGGACGGCCCAGGGGCAAAGCAGAGGCCGAGAAGGGGGACTCAGGCAGACGGCCTGGGGGAATGGCAGAGAACGAGGAGGTGGTCTCGGGCAGACGGCCCGGGGGCAAGGCAAAAGGGCAGGGAAGTCCGCGGCGGGGGAACTCAGGGGGCCGAAGACAGGGGCGAAGGCCTCGACTAGGAAACTCAGGGGGCCGGGCTCGAGTGCGAAGGCAGCGGCTGGGAAAGTCAGGGGGCCGGGCTCGAGGGCAAAGGCAGCGGCTGGGAAAGTCAGGGGGCCGGGCTCGAGGGCGAATGCTGCGGCTGGGGAACTCAGGTTGCCGGGCTCGAGGGCGAAGGCCGCGGCTGGGGAACTCAGGGGGCCGGGCACAAGGACGGGCAAGAAGGCGGCGACGGGACAGCTCCGGAGGACGGGAAGGGAGACGGCGTACGCCGCGATGGGGTCCCTCCAGGGTCAGCTGGATCACCGGAGCAGGAGCACAGGGATCGGGAGCACTGGGAGCTGGAGATGGCGGGACCCCCGGTGGGACAGGAACCGGTGTCGGCCGGACAGGAACCGGAGCCGTCTGGACAGGTGCAGACGGAACCCACGACGGGACAGGCACAGACGGGACCCTGGACAGAACATGGGCTGGTGTCAGTGGGACCCCGGACGGAGCAAGGGCTGGTGTCGACGGGACCAATGGCGGAACAGGACACGGTGTCGGCGGAAGAGGCGTCAGCGGGACCCCCAACAGAACTGGACATGGTGTAGGCGGGACCCCCGGCGGGTCAGGATCTGGTGGCAGCGGGACCTCTGACTGAACAGGATTCGGAGCTGGCTGGACATCCGACGGAACAGGTGTCGGCGGGACCCGCAACGGAACAGAACATGGGGCTGGCAGGACCCCCGGCAGAACAGTAGTCGGCGGGACCCCCAACGGGACAGGACATGGAGTTGGCAGGACCCTCAGCGGAACCCCCAACAAAACAGGACACGGTGTTGGCAGGACCCCCGGTGGAACAGGTGTCGGCGGGACCCCCAACAGGACAGGACATGGGGTCAGCAGGACCCCCGGCGGAACAGGTGACGGCGGTACCTCCAACAGGACAGGACACAGAGTTGGCAGGACCCCCGGCAGGATAGGTGTCGGCGGGACCCCCAACAGGACAGGACACAGAGTTGGCAGGACCCCCGGCAGAACAGGTGACGGCGGGACCTCCAACAGGACAGGACACAGAGTTGGCAGGACCCTCAGCGTAACCCCCAACGAATCAGGACATGGAGTTGGCAGGACCCCCGACGAAACAGGTGTCATCTGCTGGGTCCATACTGGTGAGATCCTTCTGTCAAGGTTGAGCGAAGCAGGCAGGACCCAAATGCAGGTTTAACTGAAAAAATACCTTTATTTCAAGGATACAACTATACATAAAGAGCAGAACTCTCTCCCTTGTGAACACATTCAAAAAACAACAAAGATCTCACAACGACAGACAGAAAAACCAGAACATAAATGCACACAAGACTAATCACACAAACAAGACACAGGTGAGGAGGGAGGAGAAAACACAGGGGCACAAGGTGAACACAATCAGGTAATCAGGCAGGAGGGAACAGGTAGGAGGGAACACAGAGACAGGAAGCAACAGGCAAGACGGGGGGTGAACACTTTTCAAAATAAAACAGGAAACCAAAGACAGATCTAGACATGAAAAAACACAACACAGACAGATCGTGACATGGACATTATAGTTAGTTTCACAAAGGGAAAGTTTCCTTCTTCCTCCTCAGTTTTGTCATGCCTTTAGATAAATTAACCTCAAGCTCACTCTGTTCAACAAGAAGACATTATTTTCCGAAATCAGCTCTCCAATAATGTTTATGATAAAATAAACTCAATATAGTCTTCATCATCATCAAGACGGATGAAGACCATGTGGTTATAAGCTCAGAAAAAGTTACTAAGAGGCTTTTTTTGTCACATTGTCTAAGGTAAATCATTGACTTCCATGCTTAACTCAGGTATGATGATTTGCAGATGATGCCAGTGACAAAATACATTAATCTGACTGCATGTATTTCACTGAAAAACTGTTTTCATGTTGTTATAGTTTAGGACTGGAAAGGCACTAAAATAAATGACATGTTGAGATGGATGGATAAGTGTCCTTGAACATGATCAACAAGTGGCTTTAGATTGTGTGCAGTGAATAAAGCTGTAAATACAACATTGTCATCAAAGCCAGCTCTCAATGTATTTAGAGTTGAGTTTCTTTTCAGATGTTAAAGTGCAATATTAAATCACCTTTTAGCTGTTCTTCATGTTACACCAACTCCTGAGGGAATATGTTGGGCAATTAAAGGCTCTATGTTTATGAGCTTGATGATCACTTTGTTTGAGTTTATCAGAGCTTTTTGTTGCATCCGGAAAAGATGGAAAGGGTGGGAAGACTGAATAATAATAGTTAGTCTAGTGCAGGGGTCGGCAACCCCTGGCACGCGTGCCAGCATTGGCACGCGGCACCGTAGCCAGTGGCACACTAGGAATAAGTCGAATAAGTGTGCAAAATATTTAAATTGTATTTTCGGATCCTGAACGAGACCGCCGCCAGAGCGCGTCTCCCCGTTACCTGCAGAAGGAAGCCATGCACGCAACGCAGCCCCGCTCTCTTTAACTCCAGGTGACTTTCTGCCGCTTTCCTCCGTGGTGCAGTGCTGATCGTTTCACCACGGAAGAAAGCACTTCACAAATTGCAGTACCCATAAGGAGCTTTACAAATGTCGCAGTTTTTGCGTGGCTGTGTGTGTCTTTAGTTGAAAGCCCAGTGGCGATCTGCTCATCTCTCATTGAAATAATATGCTACAAAGGGGCGGACTGGCCATCTGTGTGTTGAACTTTCCTGTCGGCTCCCAGACCGTAGTCGAGGAGGGCAGAAGCAACGAGCTTCAGGTTCAATAACCCACTTTAGCTTAAATGACTGGAGAGAGGCGAGCTCTTCTTGAGAGGCCGTTGCATTTATTTAGCTGTTCTTCTGTTTCACAAAATACATCACAGACCTCTGTTTTTTCTGCTGCCTCGTTTCACTTCCAGAAACATACTCACACGCACACGCCACACCCCTCTCTCTCTCTCTTAAAGGGACAGCGATCTCATCTCACTCTGCATGACCCTAATATCATAACATGTGTGTTCTGGAGAATCACAGAACGGACGATCGTCCTTATTATTATGCCGTTTAAACCAATTATTTAAATGTGTTTGTTAAATTCGGTATCATGTAAGTTGCGCTGACAGGTCCACACACTGCTTCCCCGCAGCGAGCCCCCCCCCGCCCTCCTGTTGATAGATCACGAGCGTCAAGCTCCTCAACATCCTCAACACCCCCCCCCCCCCCCCCCCCCGTTGATAATTCTCGATCGTTGGCACGCTGATAATTTTTTTTTTTTTAAATGGCACTTCATATCAAAAAGGTTGCCGACCCCTGGTCTAGTGGGTAGAAGGGGGTATCATGCACCCCCCTGAAATATACTTCGAATCAGCTTTTCTAGATTGGAAAAATTGTGTAGAAAACGATTAGCTATGTTAAAAAGTTGGCAAATTGTCCCACGTATATTTTTTCCACAAATTAGTGTTTATTTACCCTAAAAATCGAGTTTCACTCTTTTTACACCTATACTATATCTACACTATATCTCAGCCATTATTGCAGATAACTGAACAAATAAGGTATCCAGATCCATGTTTTGAGGGTCAAGGAACACAATACAACTATTCTTAAAGTGATCACATGTGTCTGTGGCATGCTATTATGCTAATTAGTGCCACCATTACAAGAAAATTGCATTTAAAGGTCCCATGTCATGCTTTTCCGGTTATTACCCGTCCCCTTGTGTGTTATGAAGGTTTTTATGCATGTAAACGGTCTGCAAAGTCACAAACCCTCAAAGTACACCCTGTAGCGAGTAAAACTCTAACACAGAAAATACCTGTCTATGCTGCCCCAGAACGCCTCGTTGGAGATTTCTCTTTTTCTTCCTGGGTACAGTGACGTGCCCATACCCAAATGGACCCATTGGTCCAAATGGACCAATCCGTGGAGCCATTACGTTACGTCCGCGGAGCCGTTACGTTAAGTCCGTGGATTGGTCCAAATTGACCAATCCGCGGACTTCCTCACACACACACACTCAACTTTTTCTCAGCTGCAGCTCCGCCGATTTCTTTTCCCTGAGACGGCGGGACGCAAATTAGTGCCACCATTA